CTCAAAAGGTCCACTTTATTATTTGTACGCGACCCGTGCACTTGCGGTATATTTTCAAGCGAACACTTACTAATGTATACTTTGATCAAAGGCATGATTAGCATAGAAGGAAACACGTGTTTATGTTCTAAAAATGTCATCTTTTTTTTTTTTTTTTCATTCACTAGAAGGTTAATTTTGAATACCATGTAACATCATCTTCAACCAGTGTACTTTGATAAAACTATTAATAGTTTGTTTGAGAAAAAAAATTATTTTCAAAAAAGTTATGCCAAATAAACGCTAAATATTAAGACCGTGTACCAAATATTTTTTTTTATCCCAAAGGTCCCTCAATTTAAGATCCCTAAGCAATTTCTTAACAAGGAACTCGAATCATTTATATTTGAAAGTTTTGTAACGAGTCTTCCCACTCCCTTATGGATTTCGACTTGACATCTCATCAAACACTCTTATGAACCAGTTAAATAACAACTTTTTCGGCTAGATTAGTAGGGTGAAATAATAGTTCAATATTACGTATCAAACATGCACTTTATACATAACATCAATAGGGTGCATAAAAATCATTTTTCGCGACGTCCCTCGTTCAAGGGGAACATTGATTAATGAATTCCAAGTTTCCAGCATAACAAAAACATCACATTCCCACCCATCAACCGAATGATAAACTGAAAATTTAATAAACGCAGGCATGATTATAAATCTAGCAACATCTTGTTCTGGGTAGAAATGTAAAACTTAATGGCTGCAGAAAATAACTGAAGAAAAACATTGCATTTCACCAATGTTAGCCATAATCCAACATCAAAAACCTTCTTCTGCCATTAAAAAAAAAAAAAAAAGGCCGCAACACTACATTGGAAATCTTGTTCTGTGAGCATATCGAGAATTTCTTCTTAAGAGTTCGATCCTTCAGGACGTGATGGCAATTATAAATGCAACCCAATAGAGGTACAACAAATCAATACGTTGTGAATAGTGTAGGGAATCAACCCGAAATTCCCAATTTGTGAGAAACAAAAAATAGAGAAAGCACACGCCAAAAGAAAAAAAAAATCTCACGCACAAGACAATATTTACTTGGTTCGGCAATTTTGCCTACGTCCACAGAGTTGCAAGGAGTTCACTATTATCATAGAAAATACAAAGTGCAACCGTCCAATTTTTTTTCTCTCTATATAAAAAGAACCATAATCACCAAAATTGCGTTTTCTATATCCTGCGCACATGATTCACAATGGGCTACAAAACGGGCCAAAAAAATTTTCCCGAGGGCGTTACCCTTGGACCCCCAAGAGGCTTGTCCATGAGCGCTCCAGCTTGGGCCCTCCGCTCCATGGACCAAGTCTTAGAAAATCTCCTATTATAAAAAACCACGCAACATTATTTGGGTCATGTCGTCAATCGGATCAAATAAAACTAGGCTCCACAAAGCCAACAAATAGTTCAAGTGAATTATATTCAACCAAACAATACACTTATTTTTTTCAAATTCTACATGCTAAGTTGTTACAGATGTGAAGTTCCTCGTCTACAGTAAGATTGAGAAATTTAGAAATTGATGATAAGGTTGGAGTTGGTCAATCTGTCAAGATAAACGTAAAAGGTACAGTTATGGGCATTATAATTTAACATTGCTATTATAGTTCATCAACTTTAATCGCATATTGTTCGCCAGATGAAGGAATTTTGACTCCAACCATACCCTTTTGCCACTCGGCACTACCCACTAACATCAGCGTGCGAGCATTTATTCGCGCTGCCCTTTTTAAACACCCTGGAGATTATAAACCAAAAGAAAAAATATAAATTAAAATAAAGGAACAACCAACATATAAAAGAAGCGAATGTTAATATTGGGATGGTACAAGAAACAAAGGATATGAACTAGAGAAGTTGACTTTTAGACATAGGTATTATGAAATCTGGCATACCATTTAAGGGGTTTATTTTCCAAAACCAAGACAACACTTTGACCTTTTTCCCTGAGTTTAGCAGCAATTGCAGAAGCTGCACACTGGAGAGACAGTTTTCTATCTGGAGACCAAGTCCTCTCTCTTTGAGCAGCTGCATAATCACCAAATGGAGTGAAATAGCATAAAAATTTGAACTCGGATATTTAGAGCATGTTTGGTTAAGATGAAGAACACAGCAAAAGAACTTTTTTGGAAATTAAGTAAAGATATACTTCTAAAGAAATAAGATTTTAAACTACTAATCTCCCAAAGAGAGTAACTTCTAAAAAAACTCAAAAATGTTTGGCAAATAAGTTACCTAAAAGTAACTTTTAAGGGTTAGCCAAACATGCTCTTTAGACTGTCTGAGATGGTCGGAGCAGTTTATTTGAATGTTTATTTACTATGATCAGGATGGGGGTTCATCTGAACTTCCTCTTACAGTTAAATATTTCCCTTCACTTGGATTGCCATTCTGAAAATATTGCTTTTGGTGGAGGGAATTGGTGCAAAGTTCAATGTAGTTGCAGTGAGAGTGTAGATGGTGGAAGAAATATAGATACAAGTGTACTGTTTATGAAATGCATTATTAAATTCATGACAACATAGAAAATATTACTGCATAGAACCAGCTGAGTAGATAAGCAACTCTTACTAGTTTTTAGGGGAAGAATATAATTTATCCTATCAACTCCAAACGATGGACAATTGTTTACATATTATACATATTCACAATTGATATAAAATATAATCAAATAAATTGTATATACTTCCCAATATCCTAACTTCCAACTCATTCAATTTTATCGTCAAACTCAAAAATATGATTAAATTAAGTGCCCAATTGAACAGTTTTGGCAGAAAAAATTCACCATTCACTATGTTCAGTACTTAATATTTCAGTATTAGGTACTTAGTTTCCAATTTATAAAAAATATATATATATGAAAAAGGAAAAAAACTCTCAAGCAAACACCAAAGAGAACGAGTTAAGAGAAACTCAACTCACTTCTACTATAACTGCATCACCAAATCCAAAGCCAAAGGCTGGAATATTATCGCCTTCAAAAGTCGAAAGTAACCTATCAAATCCCTGAAGAAAGAAATACAGAAAACGAGGCAGAAAGTAACCTACTTTTTGTTCGACAATGATTGCAGCCAGCCGAGAAACAGGTCGAGTGAAAATGCTATTCTTATAAATTTATTATCTGGTTTCTTATTTAAATGTAGGCTAGGTATTGGAATATTAGTTAGTTAGTTGGTAGTTGAAA